TGTCTGACTGAAAATAATAAGTTCCACTACTGAAACTACACACAAAAATCGCTGGTCCAGGTGAAGCTTTTTTTCGTGTAATTATTAAATTTTGAATTGTTTTTATCAGCAAGAAAATAAATTTCACTAATGCAATTTTTAAAAGATTTTTGTTTTGCCTGACTAACAATAAATGTTACTACTTAAACTATAAAAACTTTTTTGTCTTTTTACTGCTTTTGTCTGACTGACGGTAATTTTTACTACTGAAACTACAATTATCCAATTTTTAGTAGTTTTTGTCTGACTGAAAATAAGTTTTACTACTGAATCTACAATGAAAGGAATTTTTATTGCTTTGTCTGACTTAAAATTAATTTTACTACTGAAAATATAATTAAAAATTTTTTAATCGTATTGTCTGACTTATAACAAATTTTACTACTGAAAGTAATAATTTATTGAATATTTTTCAATTTTTAACTACTTTTGTCTGACTGAAAATGAGTTTTACTACTGAAACTACAATTATCCAATTTTTAATAGTTTTTGTCTGACTGAAAATAAGTTTTACTACTGAATCTACAATGAAAGGAATTTTTATCGCTTTGTCTGACTTAAAATAAGTTTTACTACTGAAAATATAATTAAAAGATTTTTAATCGTCTTTTACTACTTGTTTACTATTTTTACTACTGAAAGTAAGAATTTATTGAATATATTTTAATTTTCAACTACTTTTGTCTAACTAAACATAAGTTCTACTACTGAAACTACTGTTTAACAATTTCTTATATCTTTGTCTGACTTAAAATGAATTTTACTACTGAAACTAAATAGTTTTTTAAGTATATTTTACATTTTAACTAGTTTTGTCTGACTGAAAATGATTTTTACTACTGGAACTACATTGACACGATTTTTTATCGCTTTGTCTTTAATTTAAGTAGTAACAGACAGTTCTCGTCAGACGTGAATTCGCAAATTAATTATTAACTACTATAAATAAAAAAAATAAGAAAAAACAACTTTAAATCATTAATTTAATTTTTAGAAATTTATTTATTAATTAAACTATTTTTACAAGTTTAGTAATATTTTAATCAGTTCGAAAAGTAGTATAATTAAATTTTGGTTATGACAGTAACCAAAAATGTCAAAATTCCGAAGTAAAGGCTAATTTTTAGTGAAACAAATTCCAAATTTGTCGAATTAAGTAATAAAGACAAGTTTTGTCCAAACAAATATCAAATTTTGTTAAAGGAAGTAGTAAAGTCTGGTTATAGTCAGACATGATGGGCATTACATTATTAATGTTTGTATTTCAATAAAAATGTTAAAAATTCGTCTTTATCGGTAGTAGGAATTAATTAACTTTTAGTAGTAATCAGTAGTTAAAATGAATTTTAGTTAATAAAAATTAAGAATAGTTGATTTAAGTAGTAACGGACAACTTTAGTCAGACAAATAGTTACAAACTATTTCTAGAATATAAGGTTGCGTTATTTTTTAGTCTAAATTTTGAAAATACGTTATTAACAGAAAAATAAATAAGTGAAGACAAAATTAATCAATTGAATATTAAAAATGATTGATTTTCAGTAGAAAATGCATTTTTTAGTCAGACAAAACAGTTTATAGTTACTCTAATAAAATATAATGAAGGGAATAATTTACTGAAAACTTTATTGAAAAATTCGGTAAAATATAAGGAATAAATTTTCTCCTCGTGTCTTTTTCGGTCCACTTTCCGGAAAGGGGGAGGGTAGGGGGTCCATTCCTACCATCATCCCATTTATCTATTACCTGCATTTGTCTCTTTCTCACTCTCCATCTCTCTGTCTCTCTCGTCGAGAGTAGTAACCATGCCACTCACTAGAACTCCCTTTGACGTGAATTCCGTGCATTACCAACGCTGACTATAGAGGGTGAGTGAGAGAGAGAGAGAGAGAGAGAGAGAGAGAGAGAGAGAGAGATACTAACTTCATTGTTGTTTCAAAGGTTCTCCTCTCCTATTGGCTAGGAGATCGAGAATAGAAAGAGATAATTGGGTCGGAAGGACCTATCAATGCGGTTCAGGTACATGGACCAATTGGCCCTGATTATGTCATAAGATCTCTTTAGTGTGTGTGTATATGTCAATAGAGAGAGAGAGAGAGAGAGAGAGGGACTCACAACTATACAAAAGTGGGCCAAACTTGGAAGAGGTGGTGCTAAAAGAAGCTTTCTTCACTTCAAAGTAGTGCCATTTTCGAGTTAAACCACAGCGCGTACAAACCACTGTAATCAATTTAACGTCCAAGCTTTCTGCTCTAATTTGGTCACACTATAACATGGTCAGCGAGCGTTTCGAAACGTTGATTCGCTTGACCAACTCCTCTATTTCAGGCTTGAAAAAAAGTAGGACAAATTTCACACCCCCACGAGTATCTAACTCGTCGTTAAATTAAGCTTGTGAAAATCTCCGTTTATACCGGGCGCGCGCACTAAAAAAGAGAGCACGTAAATACATTCGTGTGTGAGTGTGTGACTTTAAAAATTCATCTATTCGTGAATAAAATAGAAATTAAGTTCACATACATGTACGCAATTTCTTTTTTTTTTTAAATACGTCAGGAGAAAATATACAAAGTTTACATTCGGGAAAAACTGGAGTAAAGAGAAAGTAATTGAATATTTCTGGACTGAAAATAAATTTTACTACTGAATTAACAATTAAAGGATTTTTTTATCTCCTTTTCTGATATAAAATTAATTTTACTACTGAAACTAATATTTCTTTTTAATATTTTACTTAATAACTTACTTTTGTCTAATTGAAAATCAATTTTACTAATGAAACTAGTATTTTTTTAAACATTTTAAATATTGACTACTTTTGGCTGACTGAAAATGAGTTTTACTACTGAATTAAGAATTAAAGGGTTTTTCATCGCCTTGTCTGAATGAAAATAAGTTCTACTACTGAAACTACTGTTAATAAATTTTTGTACTTGTTTCTGTTAGTCAGAATATAAGTTTTCCTAATGAAATTATAATTACAAGATTTTTGACCACTTGTCTGCCTTAAAATAAATTTTACTACTGATAGTAAAATTTTTTTTTATCTATTTTAATTTTTAACTCCTTTTTTCTAATTGAAAATAAGTTCTCCTATTATAACTATAATTACAAGATTTTTGATCGCTTTGTCTGACGTAAAATGAATTATACTCCTAAACTACAATTAAATAATTTCTTATGTCAATGTCTGACTACAAATGAATTTTACTACTGAAACTAAGGATTTTTATAATAATTTAATTATTAACTACTTTTGTCTGACTGAAAATGAGTTTTACTACTGAAACTACAGTCAAACAATTATTAATCGCCTTGTCTGACATAAAATAAATTTTACTACTGAAACTAGGATTTTAAAAAAAACACTTCATTTATTAACTTCTGTTGTCTGACCATAAATGAGTTTTACTACTGAAAATAGGATTTTTCATTTAATTTTTCATTTATTAATTACTTTTGTCTGATTAAAAATTAATTTTACTACTGAAACTAAGAATTTTTTAATTATAGCAATTTTTAATTACTTTTGTCTAATTTAAATTGAATTTTACTACTGAAACTAGGATTTTTGTAAATATTTTAATTACTAACTACTTTTGTCTGACTAAAAATGAGTTTACTACTAAAACAAGGATTTTTAAAAATATTTTTTATTTATTAACTACTTTTTTCTAATTAAAAATGAGTTTTACTACTGAAAATAGGATTTTTTATTTAATATTTTATTTATTAACTTCTTTTTTCTGACAGAATATAAATTTTTCTACTGACACTATAATTAATAGATTTTTAATCACTTTGTCTAACTTTAAAATTAATTTTACTACTAAAAATAAATTTTTTTTATATCTTTCTGTTTCACCTGCTTTTGTATTACAACTAAAATTAACATTTTTTAAATATTTTCATGAATAATACTTTTGCCTGACCTAAAATGAAGTTTACTACTGAAACCAAGAATTTCTGTCATTATAGCAATTATTAATTACTTTTGCCTAATTTTAACTGAATTTTACTACTGAAACTAGGATTTTTGTAAATATTTTAATTGATTACTACTTTTGTCTGACTAAAAATGAGTTTTACTACTAAAACTAAGATTTTTTAATTAGTAACTACTTTTGTTTAAATAAAAATGAGTTTTACTACTGAAAATAGGATTTTTTATTTAATATTTCATTTATTATTAACTACTTTTGTCTGACAGAATATAAGTTTTTCTACTGACACTATAATTAATAGATTTTTCATTACTTTGTCTGACTTTAAAATTAATTTTACTACTGAAAATAAATTTTTTTATATCTTTGTTTTTCACCTGCTTTTGTCTGACTTAAAACGAGTTCTACTACTGAAAATACAATTTTACAATTTCTAGTTGCCGTGCCTGAATTAATGAGAATTAGTTTAAACAAATTCAACAATTCCTGATTATCATGTCTGACTTAAAATGACTTTTACTACTGAAAGTCTATTATCTTTCTATATAGTATATAGTCTTAGTATCTTTCTATATATTTTGTTTTTTAACTGTTTTTTTAGACAGGAAATAAGTTTTACTACTGAAACTATAATAACAAGATTACTTATCGCTTTGTCTGACTAATAATATATTTTACTACTTCATTCATTCTTTTACATTTTCTTCCTCCCTTATAATATTGACACTAGTATTCGCATCTAATTGAGAGGCTTTTCCTCTCTTATATTATTTTCTAAATTATTATTATTATAATATTCATAATTTTCGCAAAATTGTTGTTCCGAGGCAAGAATGTAATGATTTGTCAGATAATTCGATGCAGTTATTAAGAAATAAAATTTTATTTAGCACATGAAATGCACATCGCGGAGCGGATGTTGCTAATTTCGACTTTAGCAACAAGGTGCAGCTATCAAACTAAGCAACTAAGTTTCATTTCGTACGACACTATTTTTATTATTATTATTAGTCTTACCTCCTAGTTGTAATTCAGCTGACGCCTGTGCAGTGTCACCCTCGGATCTTCTAACAATACACTGGTACATTCCTTTGTCCTCTCTGCCAATACCATTTAACCTCAACAACTCCGATTGCCTTCCCGAACCTGGAAGTTGTCTCCCATCTTTGTACCATGTTACAAAATGTGGTCCAGCCTGGGGATGGGTTCCAACTTCGCATCTAAATTCAGCATTGCCTCCCAAGTGAACGCTCAATAGGGTCGGTGTCACTTCCACATTTAGAGGCGCCGTTACAACCAGTCTGTTAACAACAAATTGGATTTCCCATTATTTCAAGAGTGTCATGATTTAATAGCCCTCATAGCAATTATAATTTATAAATTTACAGTTTGTCTCAAGATATCAAATTGAGACAAAAGAACGTATCAAAAATGTTGCTTCAATACACGTTTTATACGTTTTTTTGTCTCATTTTGATATTCTTAGAAAAACTGTTAACTTGCAAAAAGATTGACGCAACATTGCTGCAATTTTCACAATATCGAGTCAATATTGCAGAAAACTTCACAATATTGAGGCAATATTGCTGAAAACTTCATAGAATTGCAGCAATATTATCAATGTTCCTGCAAATTTAGATTCAGTGGGGAAGTGGATGAAAAATTTGGTATTGTTTAATTACCTTAATTCGGCACTGGCTTCACCACCGGGATTTGCAGCTGTACATCGATAAACCCCACTGTCCTCTAGAGTGACAGCTTCGATGGCCAAAACGGACCCGAGGAGTCGCGTCCTCGGACCAGGAAGCACTAACATTGGCTCGGCTCCGGTTTGAGCGTACCACCTGAAAAAAAGAAGTAAACATTTTCTATTATGAAGTTTTTCGAACAATTCTTCATTGATTCTTAGGGCTAAATTATATTTTTTTTGCTATTACTATTATAAACTATTCAAAATAATAATTTTATTAATTATTTAATTAATATTTATTATTTTCTAAAAGGCTAATTTAAAATTTAAATTCTTCAAAAAAAAAATCTATTACTTTTTAACAAATTTTAAAATATTCGTCGAAAGAATACAATTATTTTCAAAAATTTTATGATACAATTCTTCGGATTGAAAATCAGTTTTATACTACTAAAACTACAGTGAAATAATTTTTGATCGCTTTGTCTAACTCAAAATTAATTTTACTACCTACTGAAACTAATATTTCATTTATTAACTGCTTTTGTCTGACTTAAAATGAATTTTACTACTGAAAATATGATTCTTAAAATACTTTAATTATTAACTACATTTGTCTTACTGAAAATGAGTTTTACTATGAAAAATTTTTCATTTAGTATTGAATTTATTAACCACTTCTGTCTGATTTAAAATGAGTTTTACTACTGAAACTACAATGAATCAATTTCTGATCGCCTTGTCTGACTTATAATGAATTTCACTACTAAAACTGAGATTTTTTAAAATATTTTAGTTACTAACTACTTTTGTCTGACTAAAAATGAGTTTTACTACTTAAACTAGAATTTTTCATTTAATATTTCATTTATTAACTACTTTTGTCTGTTTTAAAATGAGTTTTACTACTGAAACTAATAATTTTTTAGATTATTGTAATTATTAACTAGTTTTGTCTGACTAAAAATGAGTTTTACTACAGAAACAATTTCTGATCGCCTTGTCTGAATTAAAATGAATTTTACTACTAAAACTAGGATTTTCAAAAATATTTTAATTATTAACTACTTTTGTCTGACTGAAAATGAGTTTTACTACTGAATTTAGAAATAAAATGTTTTGAATAACCTTAACTGACCTTTCATTATTGGAATTATTAACTTGTTTGGTCTGACTGAAAATGAATTTTACTACAGCGACTTGAATTTTGAAAAATATTTTAATTATTACTTTTGTCTAACTAGAAATGAGTTTTACTACTGAAACTAGGATTTTTGAAATACTTTAATTATTAACTACTTTTGTCTGACTGTAAACGAGTTCTACTACTGAAAATTAGATTTTTCATTTCATATTTTGTAATTATTAACTAGTTTTGTCTGATTAAAAATTGATTTTATTACTGAAATTAATAAGTTTTTTCATTATGGTAATTATTTTCCAGTTTTGTCTGACTGAAAATAAGTTTTACTACTGAAACTAAGATTTTTGAAATATTTTAATCATTAACTACTTTTGTCTGACTGAAAATTAGTTATACTACTGAAACTAGGATTTTTTAAATATTTTAATTAATATCTACTTGGGTATGACTGAAAATGAATTTTACTACTGAAACTAGAATTTTTTTAATATTTTAATTATTATCTACTTTTATCTGACTAAAAATGTGTTTTACTGCTGCAACTACAATTGAACAATTTCTGATCGTCTTGTGTCTGACTTAAAATGAATTTGACTACTGAAACTAAAAATTTTTTAAACATATTTTAAATTATTTACACTTTATGTCTGACTGTAATTGATTTGTACTACTGAAACCACAATTAAACAATGTTTTACCTTCTTGTCTGACTCAAAATGAATTAAATTTTTAAACTACAGTTATATACGATTTCTAATATTTTTTGTCTGACTGAGAATGTGTTTTACTACTGAAATTACAAAAAACTTATTCTCTGAATAAATAGATAAAAAGTCCGAGTCTACATATACTCGAATTAGTAAAAATTTGAAGTAATTATAAATAAAATAAGTGATATGAAATTTTTGAAAATTAATTTTTTATCTTCACATAGTACACACAGGAAAAAATAGTGTTTTTTTAGCACCAAAAGTGGTGTTAAAACTTCCCGTAACATTTTTAACCGACACAGTGTGATTTTAACACTACTTTGTTGTTGAACAATGTGACATATCCGAAAAAACGTAAGAAAAATCTTCCTCAACAAAATTCGGACGTGAGTTGTCGACTACATCACCGATGAAACTCGAATTACACGAAAAGAATTCGAATCTTATATAGTTATCGTTTGAGATTTCTACGTGATTTTTCACTTTAAAAAAAAACTTTTAGAAAATCAAAGATTTTCGTCAAGAGATGAAAATAAAAAATTCCACACGAATAAAGTGAAGCATCTCGACTTCAATTTTCGGTGTAGGAACTTTCAAGTGTCAGTATGTTAAGATTCAGAAAGAATCGTCCAAGGGAACTAGGGCATTCATGAGTAATTTTTCAACAGGCCGAGAACTAAAGTAGGCAATTCCATGAAGTAGAAAAAGTAGGAAAAACTAAAAGGTAGTCGCGGTTCAATTTCATAAGCTTTCGAAAGTCTTCTCTCTCTCCTCTCTCTCTCTCTCTCTCTCTCTCTCAATTTGCAGAAGTTGACCTGAAATCGACGGAAAGTCTTATTTGCGAGACTTTATCCCTGAAATTTTCCGTTTCCTTCGCCTTTTCGACTTTTACTGACAGTTGCGATGAAGGCACGTTTCCTCTTCTCGAGCTTTCACAATCTACCGACCCCCCTTCTCTTCTCCTCTTTTCTCCCCCATCGCCTACTCTTTACCCTGTGCTCTTCCAACCTCTTGGCTCATGCCGCACCGCAACTTTCCACAATCCATCGACTTCTCTTGCAAAAGCTATAATATAACGACCTCATTCACTTCCATGGATCTCTCTCCTCTCTCTCCTTCGATTCACCAAACTTCAGTTAATGAACTTTGATCCTCGAGAAAATTTCACTTTGAACGAAAAAGATCCGACGAAAAGTTTAAAAACCCAATCGAACTTATACGAGTCGAACGTTAACGAGGAAAATCCGCAAGCGGTTTGAAAAAAAAGTGCAGACTCTCAAAGGAACTTATATTGTATGGATAAGTGATTAGTTAAAAGACGGAAACAAAAGAGTTTCGATAGAATAATTAATATATGACTAAAACATAAACAGGGAGTGTTTAAGAAAATAGTTTAACCTACATATATACAGGAAAGGTCGGTTTATAAAAAAATTCCTTCATCCATTATTCTCTTCTTCTTTTCAGATAAAAATGATAGAAGTACTCTGGCACTTTTCTCTCTGAATGATAATAATAATAATAATCTCCGTGTAAAAAATATTCCTCTATTCTTTAAAGTGAATTTCCTCTGGATTATCTGGATTTGCGTGTGTGCAAAGGCGAACTGAGGTTACAGTTATGACGTCATAGTTACAAGCGTCGAAGGTATATACACATAAATGTGATGTAAATTGTTTTTTTTATAATCGGTGTAAAAATGAATTCTCTTTTAAATATATTGAACGAATCGCAACCCGAACTTAAAACTTAAAATAAGCTTTTGAATTTTTTCCATTTTTATGGAATAAAGAATTAATTTCGTTTATCCTAGAGTGTAAGGAAAATTAATATTCTTTAGTTGTGAAGTTCTTGCAATTTTCAATCAACTTTCGCGTCATACGTTAAAAAATAGTAAGCATTCAAAGAAATTGTTCAAATTTTACGAGCCGCGTAACTAAAAATTCCGAAGGTGGCAGTCAAGGTAATTTGAACTTTTAAGAAACTTTCGGTACTACGTAGATACCTGGAAGCTTTCAGAAAGTTAAAAATAATTTAATTATTAACTACTTTGTTCTGACTGAAAATGAGTTTTACTACTGAAAGTACAATTTAATTATTTCTGATGCCATGTCTGACTTAAAATTAATTATACTACTGAAACTAAAAAGTTTTTTTTTAATATTTGAAATAATAAAGACTTTTGTCTGACTTAAAATGAATTTTACTACTGCGTAACTAGGAATTTTTCATTTAATATTTCACTAGTTTTTTTATTCATTTGTCTATAAGTTTTCTTGTCTGCAAGTTATCAAGTTTCCAAGGATCTCGACCTAACCTAAGACGTTTAAACTTACACAGTGGGAATCTAACCCAGAAAGTACATCCTAAATTGAAGAATTTAAGTCATTAGTTTTCAGTTCACTCGTCAGAACAAGAGCGAGAGAACATGGATTCGTGGAAAAATTAAACCATAAATTCAGATGAAAGAGGATAAAACGCGGCACTTTAGCTTTTCAGAAGAATAAAAGCGATTACAGCATTAAGAGTCTAAAAGCCTTGAAGATAATCGAAACATGGCATACTAAATTTTCAAGAATGTATAGAGAATCTTCGTGAGATTCAGAAAGTTTTTGATTGCTTTTCAACTAGCAGTAAGAACTTTTGTTCCTAGATTACGTATAAACTTTCAAAAAGTTATATAAGTGATTTTTGGATAGTTTGAAATTCTATATATTGTTTAGGAAATAATTATCCTTCTATCGATCGAGTATTTCTCAGCTTAACTAGCTGCTAATAAACAAGAGACAAGCAGAAATTGAAACTCGAATATATATCCAACAGATTTTCATCAGTCGACAAAAAGAGTTTACTTACTTTTCAATTTTCAATAACGCCGAGCATAAAGCTGAAGTAATTAAATTCTTTTTTTGTTGAAAAAGGGAAAAATGGTCAGGGTTGGACCACCTTTTGAAGGCTTTTGCTGAACATGTAATCATGTTCAGCAAAAGTATTCAAAAGGTGGTCCAAATTTCAAAAAAATTATGAACATTTCAAAAATAAATTAAGTCAAGGTTGGACTATGTCTGAAAGTCGAAACTAGTGTTTCGCTTTCTAGACACAGTTCAAACAATTATTTTCATAAATAATAAAATTCTTCGGTAAGAGAATAAGTTTTACTACTAAAACTACAATGCAACAATTTCTGATCGCCTTGTTTAACTTAAAATGAATTTTACTAATGAAGGTAGGATTTTTTAAAATATTTTAATTATTAACTACTTTTCTGTGACTGAAAATGAGTTTTACTACTGAAACCAA